CTCATTAGAGCAAACTCCAAAAACTTGATCTTCTAGAGGGAGGAAAGCAGAGGGAGAGAATACTGTGCTTCAGTGAGAGTAACTGGATGGAGAAATAAAAGGTAATACTCCCATTCTGTGGTTGGTTCCTCCAGGAATTTTGCTGTTTATATCCTTGATAAGATTGCCTGTCTGCAAATTATAAAACACCAATATGTTGTTTCTAGATGTGATTAGTATGTATGCTGGTTTGACTACCTCATCAAAAGTGGTTATAGGTTTTATCGTATTGCTATGCAAACTAGGCATCCCTAATGTATTGATGCTGATAAGTTTAGTGGTGTTGATTACTACTGAGGCAAGAACTGGAGTTAGAATCATAATTCATATATTCAAACACTCTACAACTTTGCTGTGAGACACTATAATGTAGTAAAACACATCATCTTTGAGATCATATGGTTCTAAATTCAAATATACTTATACGATACACACACACACACACACACACACACAAAAATTAACCTCTTTGTGACTTATTTTACACACATTTAAACTAAGAGAAGTAATATTTTCCCTGCAATATTATCTTGAGAATTACAGATAAATGTTATAAAATGCATGATGCACATGGTGGACACAGAATAAAAAAATTATTAATATTATGAAAACAGGAAAACACAACAGAGAAAATCAAAGCCCAAGTGTTGGGTTTGAAATGATTAACAAGTATATAAACACCTAAAAAGACTAATTTTTAAAAAGAAAGGAAGGTAGAATGGAAAGAAGTGAAGAAGGGAAGGAGGAAGGAAGGAAACATCAGTAACCAGTTACCAACATTAGAAATGAATGTGGGGACATAACTACAGATCCTACATCAAATTGTTATTAAGGAAATATTTTGAAGACATTTATGTTCAAAATAATTCAGTAAATTTGACAACTGAGATAAATAGATAAATTCCTTGAAAAAAAAAAACACAACTCACAAAAACTGATGCAAAGTAAGAGAAAAATCTGAATAGCACTAAAGAAATTGAAGTCATAATTTGAAACCTTCCCACAAAGCTACAAAGAAAGCTTCAGACCAAGATGATTTCACTGATGAATTCCATCAAACATTTATACCAGTCTTGAATAAACCCTTTTAGAATATAAAGGATGAGGGAATACCTTTTCAACTGATGTTATGAGATCAACACAGCCTTAATACCAAAACCTAAGAAGGACATTACAAGAAACAAAATCCCTAATGAATATACATGTAAATATTCTTATCAAAATATTAATAAGTCAAATCCAGCAATATGTAAAAGGACAATACATCATGACCAAGTATTCAAGACTGACTTTACAACTGTAAATCAATCAATGTAATTGATTAACAGAATAGAGGAGAAAAAGCATGTGCATATATCAATGCATGCAAAATAAGTTGAGAAATTCAACAAAAACTCATGAAAAAAATCTCAGTAAACTAAAAGTGCAGGAGGACTAACTCAATATTATAATAGACATCTATTGAAAACCTACTGCCAGTGAAATATTGAACACTTTTTCAAGATTAAGGATGTTGACTTTCACCACTTTTATTTAGTATCGTTCCAGAGGTTCTAACCAATGAAATAAGGTTGTAAAAATTGAGTAAGGTCATAAAGATTGGAAAGAAGGAAATAAAAGTGTATTCAGACATGATTATATATATAGCAAATCCTAAGGAATATTGTTGATGTTCAGAATATCCCTAATGTCAAATTAATTCTATGCTAAAGAATGAAAGAAATATCCACTTATTGTTTGTATGCTTTATCGGTTAACATATTCATCAATATATTACAGGTTGTATTTGACTATTACTTCCATGTAGAAGAGGAATATTAATTCAGGAATAAAGCATATGTAGGTTGAGTACCTACCATCAAAATTGGCCCTACCCTCAAGGAGTTTTCAGTCTTGTAAGTTCCAGGGCTTGCTTAATATGGGACTTGGATCACACTCACATTTTACAAGTAAATTCACAACCAGCTAGTATGTATGTTGGTTCTGCTGCCCAGGAACTACAACTTACTGGTCAGCCTCCCCACTGTTATCATATACATAAATCTATTGTTCCATGACCATTTACTAGTCAGGTGGGATAATAAGTACATCTGAGAAGTGACAATTCTTGGGTAGGACAGGGTCCTAGAGAACTTGTCACCGAACACAAGGCAAAGGAAAACTATTATTCAGATTACCTTTAGATAATCTTCCTAGAAAATAGATTTCATATAGCTCTTTTATTGTTTCCAATTTATAGAGGAGGGCAGAATACCATCAGAGTAACAATTTACAATTTCAGGAGTCAGAAATTAAAGGCCTGGGACCATAATTTTAAAACCTGTGCAGCTTTTAATGTTATTCTTTTTACCCTCATGCCATAGGTCAGGTTGCCCAGGAAACAAACTAGACAGGGATGTGTATGCAGGTGGTTAATTAAGGACAGTCCTCAGGAGCACCTGTAAGGGAGGTGGGAGGAGGCAGCAGGACTGATCAGAGGGAGAAGTTGAACCATGATGTAGTTGCAGTAGAGGCTATCAGTGATGCCTCAGGGAGCTCTAAAGCTGGTTGGCCCTTTAATGATGGGTAAAGGGGGCCATCTTCTTAGCACCTTTGCACCTTCTCATCAACCAGTCATTGAAGGTGGGCTGTTCCACCCTTAAGGTTCATAACCATAACCATGGGCAATGTTGTTTCCTTTGGCAGCGGGCAATTCCTGAAGGTGGACTCAGCTGTGCTCTGTCAGCAGGTAACATTCTTTGCAGCAGGAAGAATGAGTGTCTTCAGTGCTAAAGGGAGCACCCAGTAATGTATAACAACATCCTGTACACCCCACAGTAAATTGCAATAAAATTCTGGAGCAGAAGGAATCTGTGTGTTTCAATGAAGGCATCTAAGAAGTAGGGGTTTATGGAGCTGCATCTCACATTGAAGCCAGGGGATGGAGAGAAGAACTAGAGGCGCTCCCAAGCAGAAATGAGCACGCATCAGGCTGTTTGGGCACCTGATTCTAGAAAGAAGCAGAAGCAAGGAGTAGGTCCAGGTCTAAGAGGCAGCCCTGATGCCAAGCAGTTAAAAAGTGGTTGTGTGCAGAGCTCCCTCACATGTGACAGGGAAGCAGTGAATCAAATAGATAGCAGAGCACTGTTCCTGAGCCCCAATTATGGCTCAGGCTGTACTTCTTGATAGACTGGTAGGTCATGGGAAAGCCAGAGCTTCTGGTGATGAGGTGGCAGCCACTTCAAGACGCATTGTTAGAAACTACTAAAAACGAACGAGAAACAGTGGCTATTTCAGTAGGAAGAACTGGAGAGATAGAAGATATATTTTCATGCCTTTCTTTTTATAAATTCATGGGGCTAAATGTAGTAGAATTAAAGTGATTTTTACTTTTTTTGTGTGTTTTTCTGTATTTTTTTATTTTTTAATTTATTTTTAATGTTTTTATTTTTTTTTTACTGAAGTATATTTGATTTACAGTGTATTTTTAAAATAGAGTAATTGAATTAGTATCATCAGGGTCAGCAAAATATTACATAAGAAAGGTTATATGAGAGTGTCACTTCCACCTTACAGCCATTCTACCATGCAAAGTACTCTTCTGAGCTCAAGCACTACTTGGGCCATCAAACTTTCTTACCTTGCTTTCTTTCTATTTTTATTTTTATTATTATAGTTACTAGTATTTATATTATTATAACACATAATTAATACATATTATATAATATATGGTATATTTTGCAATTACGTATTTTATGTATAAATGTAATATTTTATAATTATGATACATAATTGTTTTATATACTATTATATTTATATAAATTAATATTTATTATTCTATTGTATTAATGCACCCTATTTATCCTTTGCTTGATCTATAATAGGCCTCATAGGTTTCAATATTTTTATCCCAAAATGCATGCATTTAGGGTGAGTTAGCTAAAGAAGATAGCTTCTATAGGAAATGAAATTTTAATCTGGAAGAAATGAAAATTGCTTCATCTCATATGGAGAGAAACTCACTCCAAAAAAAAAAAAATGCAAACCCGCCCTAATGTTGCAAGACATGTCTTTGGCAGTGACCTTTTTTGTGCTGTGTAGCCACTGGGTTATCTAGAGCCCTGTTGGGTGAGCCAGAAAACTTGGAAATGTTCAGATAAGTCAGGGTCAATGTGACCTTTTATGTACTCAATTCTTGGGAAGGTTGCTAGCTTAAAACGTCTCTGAACGTAAACAAGAGAAATAGTTACTATTCCAAAACTGAAACTAAACTAACAGGTTGGAGAAGATCATTTACTGCTCCAGAAATTTGCAAAAGGAGATGACGGCTGTATAAATTTATGACAGTTTTATCAAATAACTGAAATGCCTTGCATGTGAACTTTATTTTGAACATGCTGATAGTTTTCATATAATTTCTCTGTATTATCTATCAGGTTGTTAAAATGTTTTCCATATGCAAAAATTAGTTGTAAAAAGCATCCAGACTATTATTAGTGATTGATTATTCAAGAAAAAAAGCATAGCTCTTTATGTCATATGAACAAACTTTGGCTCTGATGGTCATGTAAATACGCAAGCTGAAACATATAGGGTGATAAAAGCTGAAGAGACTGGAATATTAGAGTCAGCTTGCTGAAGTAATGTATGTCCACTTGATTTCTCAGGAAGCAATGAAATATGGTGAAGGAACAGGGGTGATATAGAAGAGACCTAGAGAGAATACTTTAAAACATTTTTATAACTTAAAGTGAAATGGTCAGATGATGTTGTCTAGTATTTTAGAGCATGGTTTTGAAGCCAGACAAGTGTGAATTTACAGCCTGGCTTCCCACTTACTCCACACATAACTTACGAATGCATTCCCTCTGAGCCTCAGTTTACTTCTCTGTGAGCTGGGGATTAAAAGATTGCCTCGCTCATAGAATTGGTATGTGTAATAAGTGAGATAAAAATGAAAAGCAACTAGCAACTACTTATTATTGTTGTTAGAGTAAATGAGTTTTAATTGTTACATAAGCATAATAAATGGTAACTTTATTACGAAAATTGAAAGCAAAATGTCTAAACAGGATATTGTGTTTCACCTCCTTGGCTAATATTTTTTATAAAACCTGCATTTAACAACTAATATATAACATATTTTCCTTCCAAATGCAAATCTTAACATTTTATCGCATCGTTTAACGTTCCTTTTGTTTCTACCAATCCTAACAAAACAACGTATTTCTTCCTCTCCCTAATGATTAACCTCCAATAGGATATGTGAGGGAAAATCCAGCACCAGCTGCTAGCCTGATGTATTTTGCAGTTTCTAAGAGAAAAAGGAACAGAAACACTTGTTCTGACCATGCTATAGCTCCCAGGGCTGGGATGGCACCAGTAGGAGTCCGTGTGCCATGGTGCTCAGCACGGCTCTGCCAATCCTAAAAAAAAGAAGAAAAAAAAAAGGTGTGTTTATATTGGCTGATTCATTCATGTTTTTTTAAAAGGAGCAAGTATTTATTGAACACTCATTATATGCCAGAGCACTGTATGGATACAGATAATAAAATATATATTCCTATATGAGTAAAACATACTCCCTTATTTCAGAAGAACCTATGACTCAAGTTTCAGGCAGAAACAGATTCTCGACATGCTACATTAATCAGTTATTTTTATTTTATATCGCACACAAGGTGTTGTTCCACTCAACATAAATATGGAATATAATAGAACTATAGCTTTTTCATTAATAAAATTGAATTGTAGCATATACCATGCAATTTAAGATCAAATTCCTATTTTTAATGTTTGCACTAGCCATCTTAAATACTTTGTGGAAAAAAGTTCAACTAATAAACAATTCAATCTCTGTTGAATAAAATGGGTTAATGAATTCATTGACAATTAATAATATAATCATAGAATTAGTTGAAATGGTTTCAAAGACTACCTTCCAAAGGCCTAGATGGTTTCAGGGGTGAATTTTTTCAAATGTTTAATATATAATGTTTTGTTATTCAAACTATCCCTTATCTTACAAAAAAAAATTCATTATGTATAATCATATTAGTAATAACAAAATTTTATATATCACAAAAAATTACAGACAAATGTCACTAATGAGTATAGATTTTAAGGTACTAAATAAAATATTTGCAAATAAAAGTCATACAGTAAAACTTTATAGGTATAATTTATCACAAGTCCAAGGAGAAAAATCATATGGTTCCCCAATAGGTACCCAAAACTTAATTTGTAAAAGTTAACTTCTATTCCTGATTGTTTTTTTTTAAACTTAGAATAAGAATAGATGACTATTAATTAAATGTAGAAAATTATACACATTTATGTATATATAAATAAAATAAGCAAAAATCAGGTCTAATGGTGAAATTTAAAAGCATTTCTATTAAATCCGTCACAGGCAAGATGCTCATTTTTCCATAACTATTTTCCTGTAAGTACCAGTCAATGAAATACAGTATAAAAATAAATGAAATGTGAAAATATTAAAGGGGAAGAAAACACCACTACAATTATTACAGGTGATATAATTTTATATCTAGAAGCCCCAGTTGGAAAATTAGTAAACTCAGAAAGGTGACGAATTGTAAAACTAAAATACCTATAAATCAACAGTTAGTTGGAGTATTCCAGTCTCTTGAAGTCTAGTTAATATGAGGCATTCTATGCACTGTGGAAGTTCAAAGCCATCCTCAACATTCTTTGTTTTTTTTTGGGGGGGGGCGGGGGGTACGCGGGCCTCTTCACTGTTGTGGCCTCACCCGTTGCGGAGCACAGGCTCCGGACGCACAGGCTCAGCGGCCATGGCCCACGGGCCTAGCTGCTCCACAGCATGTGGGATCTTCGCGGACCGGGGAAAGAACCCGTGTCCCCTGCATCGGCAGGCGGACTCTCAACCACTGTGCCACCAAGGAAGCCCCTCAACATTTCTTTTTAATTTCCAGAAGGCTTGTGTTCTCATAAGCACATTTGGCTCTGCGCTCCTGTTTTGACATGGGCTATGTCTCTTGTGTTAGAAAATTGTATTAAATAGTAAGAATATAGGCTTTAAAATAGAATTGTATACAGAAACAGTATTCATGTACTTATTTTTCACCCATGTTAAAATCAGGTATCATTTATAAACCTGTTAAAGAAAGAAGCAAAATATATTCTCTCTTCATTTTTTGATTGTTTATTGAAAGAGAAATGGTATAACATTTTAAATTGAAATAGTATGTCCCTTATTCTTCATTCAGTAGAGTGTTTATTTCATAAATCTTAAATTTACTGAGAGGAAGAAATTTGTTAACTCTCTTAAAGAAACAGCATGCTACTGGAATCTCCATAAGACAAGATTTCCCTTTTATACCTCTTGAAAATTCTCACTAAAGACGTGAGAGATGTTTGAATTGAATGTTTAACCTGTAAATAATATGATCATAATTTCATTAGTTCATTAGTTTTAACTTGCATGCTACAAAGCTTGTACTTTTTTATTTCATTTCAGTTATCTTAATAAGCTGATTTGTCATCTCAGCATTACTTGAGAATCTGTGAATATTTTAAATTACTAATAGTGTCTTCAAAATGTGTTCCATAAGACACAGGACAGAGATTCATTCTTGGGAAAAATATTTTCTAGAGAAAAATATGTTTGAAAGTAGTTCTTAAAAAGAAATAATTTTGAGTAGCTCTTTTTTAAAAAGTTTTCCCAGTGATTAAAGAAGCAAAATATTTGAAAACAATGTTATATAATTTGCAAACATGATATGCTCTTTAAAAATACATAAATCTTCTCTCAAGACTTTCTCTCTTTTTAGATATTGTTGATTGATTCTGTGTGCATGAGACCAACACTATGTGAACTGATTTGAACAAACTCTTCAACTTATTCATCAGTCACCACTCAGGAGAGTAACACATATGAGAAAAAGAAAAAGACTGATATTTCCCGATACGTACTTACCACTTGGGTTTCTGCTAAGATCATTTACATGTGTAATTTTATCCAGATTGTCTCAGAGAGGATGGTGAGTTTAAGACATTTGGATGATATCAAGAGAATCTAGAGTGCAAACCTGAACCTCTTACCCTTCTCTCCAATGATGACTTGTGTTGCCTTTGCATTTTCATCTGTGTAATTTATTCTACTCACAAAATAAGAAAGAGTTCTATCACTGTCTATTTTTCTATTATCTTTTTAATTGTGGTGTAATTTACATGGAGAAAAATGCCCAGCTTTTAAGTGTAGAATTCAATTAACTTTGGCCAATGTGTACACCCACATAACCAAAACCCAATGAAGATACAGAGCACTTGCATCACCCCTGAAAGTTCCCTCTCTTCCCTTTTCCAGCCTATCCCACTCCATACCACCTCTGCGCAACCATTGTTTAGATTTCTGTAATATCATATAAAGTCACATAAAAGGAGCCATACAGTATGTTCTCTTTTGCACCTGGGTTCTTTCACTCAACTTAAAGTTGTGAAATGCACCCATGTTGTTCTGTGTATCAGTAGCTTGTTTCTTTTTTCACTGAGTGTTACTGCATTGTATGATCACGGCACAACTTGTTTATTCACTGGTTGATGGTTATTTGGATTTTCTTTTCTGTTTGAGTTTATCGTGAATAAAACATCCATGAATTTTCTTATATAAATGTTCTTGTGGGTGTATGTTTTATCTCTCTTGTATAAATGCATAGGAGAGGAATTTCTGATAGATATTTGTTTAGTTTTATAAGAAACTGCCAAACCATTGTCCAAAGAGGTTGTACCATTTTATTCTCCCACCAGCATGTCTGAGTTCCAATTTTTCCACAACCTCGCCAACAGTACCATCAGCCTTTTTAATTTTAGCCATTCAAGTGGGTGTTAAGTGCTATCTCATTGTAGACTTCAGGAAAATACATTTCCCCGAACACTAACGAAGTTGATTATCTTTCCATGAGTTTATTGGCTGTTCATGTATCTTCTCTTGTGAAATATCTTTCTGTTTTTTGTCTTTTATATTAGGTTTGTCTTTTATTATTGAGATTTAGGAGTTTTAAGAATATTTTTAATACAAGTCTTTTGTCAGATATATGTACTTTGAATATTTTGCCCAATCTATGGATTGTCCTTTCAATTTCTTAACAATGTCTTTGATAAACAGAATTTTAATTTTTCTAAAATCTGACTTACAATTTTCCTCTCTTATGGTTTTTTCCTTCCACATCTTATTTAAGAAATCTTTGTCTATCCTGTGATTGTGAGGTATCCACTATGTTTCCTTTGAGAAGTTCTATAGGTTTAGCTTTTACTTTTTGGTTTATGATTCATGCCAAATTAATCTTTGTGATTCATTACCTTTAGACGCTGAGATTTAATAACCAGAATCTCACTTATTTGACCTTGAAAGTTAATAAACCCTACTACTTTGTTGAGTAGAACAACCTCCCTTAATATAAAGTGAAACTCATATAAAACCACAATGAAAAGCAGAAACAAGCATAACTATAGTCACCTGACATCAAAATAATCCAAGGTCAGGGTCTTCTCACCTTAGACCCCACTCATCTGCCCCTAAACAGAACTCCCTTTCACAATATACTGCTACTTTATCCTCCCATCTTTTACTTTATTCTATTTCTGACAGTTCTTCCTTTCCTCCCGAGGAAAAAAAATCAAAATATACCATGTTTTATGAAGAAGATCAAAATGTAAAATCACCTTCCCAAAGATGTGTTTTTGAAGTGGGTTTTCTTTGTGGAATGTTTGATTTGTAATAAGCATTCATATTCTGAGTAAATAGAAAATCCTTGTTTCACTCTTCTAACAACTTCATACTTCAAAAACCTGGGAGTCATCTAACTCCTCCTTCTATCTCAACCACACATTTAGCATTGTCAAGTAAATACAGGTCACCCAGCTACATTTGAATTTCAGTTAAACAATTAATAATTTGTATGTGATCCAGCAATTGCTTGTAACATACACTAAAAAAATTATTTGTTGTTTATCTGAAAATCAAATGGAAGTGAACATCCTGTATTTTTATTTGCTAAATCTGGCAACTCTACCCACATCCAATTCATCACCAAACCCACTGAATCCTAATTTCTCAATATTTCCTAAATTAAGCCCATTTATTTCCATCTCTACTATTCGTACTCTTGGAAAAGACACCGAATTTATACCCAGATTGCTTTAATGACTTCCTTACTAGCTACCAATCTCTATTCTAAACATTCTTCACTCTCTGTTAAAGCCATAAAGATTCTTTTAAACACAACCCTGATCACATAACACCCTCTTCAATCATTCCTATTGCTTTTAAGATAAAGTCCAAATTCCTAAACTTGGCTTTCACTGCTACATCTTACCCGTCCAGGTTATCTCTAAGCAATCATGATCTTGTATTCTCCATATATTCCAGTCATTTTGAAAAAAC